GCTTGATGATGATAATAAACGACTCTGTTACTGGCATATGTATTTACTATACTATACTTTATACCCTTATTTTAGAGCGTACTCTTTCTATTTATATATATAAAAAGTTTGCTGTGAAAGAGTGTCATGTTACGCTGGCAACAGCTTCACACATCTCTTGTTTACCTATCTTTTGATTGCAACATTTTATCTTGTACTTGATTTAATCTTGTGTTGTTTTGTACCATAACATGCTGTACAGGTTTGTAGCCTAGGAGCAATAGGCTATACCATAGAGCCCAGGTATGTAGTAGGCTATGCTACCTAGGTTTGTGTAAGTACAACTCCATGACATTTGTACAAGGACGATATCACCTAACAACACACTTTTCAGAATGCAGCCCCATAGTTAAGCAGCACGTGGCTTAGTAACTTTGTACTAAGCTAAGTGAGGAACACAACATGAGACAAAGGGCAGCAAAAATATTGAGAACTAGGAGGATGATTGACAAGAAAAGAAGTATTAAAGTTTCCTGATATGATGAGGTTGTTTGTTAAATCCTTTCAATACTTCATGAACTGCATAAAGAAAGAGCAATTTCCAAAGCAGCATTAACCAAAACTCTAATTCCTGTCTCTTTTTTCTCTGACAGTGGACATAGAAAGCAGTGTAAGATGTATCCACCAAGTCTGACAGCAGTTGTGCAGCTAATGAAAAATATTTGTACCCCAGGGCTGTCCAAGCTCCGTGTTTTTAATCATGAGCACCAAGGTTCACTGGCATTTTAGGTTACCTTATTGTCATATAGTTTCTCTCTCTCTCATAAATATTTTCTATCTTCTTGCTTTCTATTACCTCAATGGCCCAGTGGCTGCCCATCAGTGACCCATCCTGTGGTTGTGCTCCCCAGGAGAGACCACTAAAACAGGATAAGGGTTTCTGGAGGATTTATGGGGAGAGAGGAGAGTTGTCTTTGCTGGACAGGAAGTTTTAAAATGAGCCATGTTTGGAGGACTCTAAAGAGTTCTCTCTAACCCCATGCCAGTTCATTTTCATGATGGAGGCTACCACAGGTCACAGGTTAAGAATTCAGATGCACTCACACATGGCAGACCTCCTGGATGAGATACAGCAGGACTAAGAAAACGACGATGTGTAACAGAAGGCGGTACAGTGCCACAGGAAGAGCAATCGTTAGGGGAGCAGGAGTAGGATTCTAACCGCTAGTGAGACGTTTGGCCTCAGACAAGTCGCTCGCTCTCTGAGGCCCCGTTTCCCCAATCTGCAAATAAGTGGGCTGTGTGTGAGGATCGTGGCTTTCTTACCGTTTTAACACTTCATTACACTTAGACTAGACTATTTGAACTAAACATATGTTTCCATTGCTGTGTAACAAAATACCACAAAATGAGCCACTGAAAACAACACACAGTATCTCATCATTTTCATGGGTCAGGAATTTGGGCTCTGCAATCAAGGTGTTGACGAGGGCTTTATTCTTATCTGAAATCTGCTGATCTGCTTCCAAGCTCACCAGGCTATTGGCATCATTCAGTTCCTGTGGTTGTAGGACTGAGGGCCCTGGCTTCTTGCTAGCTGTTGGCTGGAGGCCACTGTCAGCTCCAAGATGCCATCCATGGTTCTTTGCCACGTGGCCTTCTCCACAGGTCCTCTGATAACATGGCAGATTGCTTTTTCAAAGCTAGCAAGAGGGAGAGACAGCCTAGTAAGACAGAGTCTTATATACTGATCACAGAAGTGGCAGGACCTCTGCCATAATCTATTGGTTAGAAGTTAGTCACAGGTTCCACCCACACTCAAAGGGAGGGAATTATACAAGGGCATGAACTCCAGGAGGCAGTGGTCACGTGGGCCACCTTAAAAACTCTGTCTGCCACACTTGTATTTTTTCTTACACACATTCCTTCAGCAATCCTGTCAGCTCTGCCTCCCAAGGTATACTCCAAATCTGCCACTTTTCCTCTCTTCCAGTTCTACCCCAACCTCCCTAGTCTGTCATCATGTTCTCTCATTTATATTACTGCAATAATCTCTCAACTGGTCTCCTGTCTGCTCTTGTCCTATTAAGCTTAGAACCTTCCAGTGGACTTCCTATTATATGTGGAATAAAATCCAAATGCCTTACCCACATGACATGGCCCCTGACTACTTCTGTGGTTTCATTTCCTACTACTCCCTGCCCCGCCCCCGCCCTTTCCTCACTCCACTTCTACTACCACCAAGCCCATTCCCACCTCAGCACCTTTGCACATGCTTTCTTTGGACAGAAATATTCTTCGCTCAGGTTTTTACCTGATAGTTCCTTCTCTTCGTCCACTTCTTGCTCAAATGCTCCATCCTCAGAGACCTTTCCTAACCAGTCTACCTGAATTAACTAATGACACTGGGGTACCAAAAGGCTAAAGCGGGAGAACCTGAGCTCTTGTTCTGGGACACACATGTGTAACACTTTTGAGACTCTCCCAGTGGCATTTGCAGAGGAGCCTGGTAACAGTTGGAAGCTTGTGTCCTAATAATTTGGGTGTGAAGGGAGAACTATGACCTTATTTTAGTCACAGGCTGGTGAGAGCTAGAACACACAGTCCAATGTCTATATAAGCTCCTTGAAGGCGAAGGTCCATGTGCCTTAGTGTCTTTACCTACAAATATGGGTGAAAGTTGGGATTGAGGATTAAATTTATGTATAATTAATATATTTAAAGTTTTACATTTATATCATATGTAAATTTATATAT